GCCCCAGACAACTCGGAACTGGTCTTCTGGAAGAACGTCAACTCCTCGTTCATCGGGACGGGGCTGGAGGAGTATCTCCGCAGCAAGAAGATCAGGCAGGTGCTGTTTGCCGGGTTGACGACGGACCATTGCGTGTCGACGACGGTGCGGATGGCGGCGAATCTGGGGGTTGTGGATGTGTATCCGGAAGGACGGCCGGAGATCGGGGCGGATGGGCGGCAGACGGCGAAGCCGGTCGAGAAGGGGGTTGTGGTGCTTGTGGGGGATGCGACGGCGACGTGGGCCAAGGGCGGGTTTGATGCGGAGACGGTGCATGCGGTTTCGGTTGCGAGTTTGAGGGGGGAGTTTGCGGAGGTGATGAGTACGAGGGAGGTGGTGGAGTTGTTGGAGAGCTAGCTAGCTGGAGAAGATGAAACCAATGAGGTTGTATTCGCCACTGGAGTTGTGGCATGACAGATCTAAAATGTATATACTAGGATGGTCTCTAGGTTCAGACATTGCTGGGAACCAATCGAGGATTCATATGACCAGAGTCCTGACATCATCATCATCATCATCATCATCATCATCATCATCGATCGCTATATATAAGAAATGACTTCTCTTCTGCCTTATACTTATCACCATGTGTAGTAAGGAAAGATACTGAAACCATCACCATGTCCTTGAGACCTATTGCTACTACTATCCGGACCCCCCTCCGCTTTCGTCCCCTCCCCCTCCTCAGAGCCTACCATTCCCCGGAGCTTCATTCTAACAAAGGCGAGAAATGTAAGTCTCATCACAGCCAGAAGCCTATCAAATGCTCATCTCATCCATGGTGCATGTAGTCTACATCCCCGCCCAGTACCCCGACAACTTTGAATCTCCCTCCCTCATCAAGACGAAAGACAGCAACGGCCATGAGAGATGGGAGGAGATTGATGCGACCCTGAGCGAGGTGTCCGTCAAGGCGGATCGGGGCGATGTCCAATTCGAGATCAGCAAGCAGGAGAAGAGCAAAAAGATCGTTCGGCCGGATCTGGAGGCTGAGCCGACAGTTCACGATATGTGATGTGATGTGCGGGTATCAGGTGGTTCCATATTTTGTGTCTCGTCTGCGCTTGAGAATGTACCTTGGATCTGTTCTATATCTATGCCGCAATTGAAATGATCAAGCTGCAGTTTCAATCTCCTGCACTTCCACCTTCCTGTCTACCTGGGCATCTCGAGCATGCTGCCCCGGTGTCACGGTCCGGCCTCCCTTGGACGTCATGACACCGCCTGTAATTCCCCCCTGGGCAAAGAGTAGCGGGATGTCCTCCAGCTCCAGTCCCTTCGTTTCCGGGTAGAAGCAGTAGACCATCGGGATGAAGACGGCATTCAGCGCCGCAAAGATAATGAACGTTTTCCATCCGATATTCGCTACTCTCGTTAGTATGTCCCAGCAAGCATCTAGGAAGATGGCATACCAAACGCAATCGGCGTAATCTTCACCACCGCAAAAACAGCCATCCAGTTCCACCCGGACGCAATCGCCTGCATCTTCGTCCGCACCCGCGTGGTATTGATCTCCGCCGGATAGAACCACGGCACCGGCAACCAGCCCACCCCGTAGAACAGCTGGAAGATGAAAATGAACGCCGTGGCACCGAACGCCGCGCCCTCGCGGTCCAGCGAGAGGAGAATCGAGACCATCGCGAAACACAGACACAGGCCCGCGGAGCACACCATCAGCAGCGTGCGGCGGCCGAACCGGTCCATCAGGAGGACGGGGATGGCGCTGCCGACCAGATACGTGCACTGGGCGCACCCGCTCAGGACCAGTGCCAGGTTGCGGCTCATGCCCATGTTTTCCTGGAAGAGGACGGGGGCGTAGTAGTTGATCATGTTGGAGCCGGTGAACTGCTGGCCCAGCTCGATGGAGATGGTGATGAGCAGGCGGCGGAGGTTCTGCACCTCGCCCCAGGTGAAGAGCTCGGCGAATTGGAAGGGCCCGCCGCGCTGTTCCTCCTCCAGGCCCGTTTGGATGTCGAGGAGGGTCCGGGAGACGGTCTCGTCGGTGAGCGGCTTGTCTTCTATCGCGGCGATGACGGCGCGCGCCTCCTCGTACCGGTCGTGCTGCACCAGCCAGCGGGGGGTCTCGGGGAGGCCGATGATCTGGAGGACGAGGCAGACGGCGAAGACGGCCTGGAAGGAGAGGGGGAAGCGCCATTGGAACGAGGAGTCGGTGAAGCTTGTCCCGTAATCCATCCTTCCTCACCTCATCAACATCATCCATCAAAAACGAGAGCGGGAACCTACCAATAGGCTATCACAACCCCGAGAATCGTAACCGTCCCCTGCAGGGTCAATAATGCCCCCCGAATCCCCGCAGGCGAGCATTCACTCTGGTACACCGGCGCCGTCGACGAGTTCATCCCGTTCCCGATCCCCGTGATGATCCGTCCGGCGATAAGCTGCGCAATCGTATACGACGAGCCGAGGATCACCGTCCCGATCACCATGATCGCACCACCGGTCATGAGCATCGTGCGTCGTCCGAACCGCTCCCCGATGAAGTAGCAGACTATCGAGCCCACTACGCAGCCGATGTCATACAGCGCGGTGATGTTGCCCTGCATTGCGGCGTCGGGGTTGTGAAGTCGCGGCCGAAGCGGTTCTGCGCGCCGATGATGCCGGACATTACTCCTGCTTTTGTCAGTGCGGTCTCAGGAGAAGGGAAGAGAGGCGTACCTTGGTCAAATCCTAGTAGGAGAAAAGCCTGGCAAGAGGCCATGGTGATGGCTGTAATCAAGGCCTTGCCTCGGAAGTTGTGTTTCCAGAGTGGCATTGCTGTAGAACTTGTGCGTACTATCTCAGTAACCTCGAATGAAGCATATCGATGGATGCAAATCTCATAGACAGGGCCTGGGGATCTAATATCTGACCATGTTCGCTTCGCGGAATATTACCCCGACAGCAGTGAGGATTCCCCACAGTCAAGCCAAAGACTGGATGACGATCATCGGCTCATTTCTCGGTTTCTCTCGGGGAGATATGGGGGGGGTGTATACGGAGTAGTTTGTTCTTCGGATTGTGGAGACAGCAGTCATAGATCCAATAGGTGGTGCACTTGCACATCCTCTGCCCCTCGGGGTAAAGACTCCCGAAATGCGGAGGCCCGGGTTCCCGGGGAAGATGTCGACAGGAATAAAGACTGGCTCGAGGATAAATCATATCAAAAGGTGAGTGGTAGTTAGGCGTTATATGGATCGCGGACTGAATTATTGACACTCGATATTTAGAGCAGACTGAAGGGCATTGGCCTCTATGGTAGAAGCTATGGCTGAAAGAAGCTTTGTGGCTTGTCTAACCGAGACTTAATATAGAATTGGGATCATTATTACCTAGAAATGACAGTACTCTAGACAGCAAAACTCTCCATTGAAGTTCGCTTCCGGAAAATGCTTGACTTAAAAGAGTGACAGTTATTCACAGTGCAGTCCTAGACAAAGGTAGCTGTACCTGCCAAGTACCCTGGCAGAACCAGCTCTCTGACCGGTTCTGCAGGTACAACCCAAAAGACAAGATCAAGGTCGAAGCCTGACAGCTTAAGAAACAGTGATAGTAGCAGACCCGCTGCTCTGGTACCCCTCCGTAGCAACAATCATGTAGTTAAAGTCTCCCAACTCCAGACCCGCCTTCGCCCACGCATCAAAGTGGTTCTGCGTCGTCACAGTACCACCCACCCGGTTCGAAGTCCGAACAGACCAGTACTGGTTGAAAGTTGCCGTGCCCTCGATCGACGGCGCATTCTCCCGGGTCGTCTTGTAGATGTTGTAAGTGCCGTCGTCGCTCTCGACGCTGCCGAGAAGGGTTGCTCCAGTGGAGGGGTTATAGGAGCCGTAGCTCTCCACGATGTAGTATTCGACCAGCGGGCTGGTGGTCCAGCCGTACACGGAGAGGTAGCTGTTTCCGCTGGGGGTCCAGGTGCCGCTGTAGGTGACCGTTCTGATAACCTATTAGCATCGGACATAATCAAGAAGAGAGGAGGGAAAAGCGTACTCGGCACTGGCTGGGTTCCAACCCTTGCCAGCAACAAAGTTGCCGCAATTCGTCCAATCGACGCTGTACTCGCCGCCGTTGCCGTTGGTGTAGGTCACTTCACCGCCACCGTCGGTCCAAAAGGAGTAGTAGTAGCCGTTGTTCGTGCCAGTCTGAGAGGTGGTGAGCTGACGCTTGGCTAGCTCGACGTATTTCTCCGAGCCGGGCGCAGCCAGCACGCCAGCAACGGTGGAGAGAGCGAGAGCGAGAGAGGAGAAGGAGACCATATTGCAATGATTGCTCGAATTGCTTTGATGGTGAAGGGGAGGTTCCTCGTGGCGACTTCATGGCTTAAGTATTCGTCGATTCAGCGGATTTCAGCCGATGAAAGAATTACGAATCCGTTTATTAAAGTGAATCCACGATTCCAGCCAAATTGTTTCATGTTGTGATCGACACCCACTTTTGCCGGTGGGCCTTTATTATAACTGGATTGAAGGAGTGATCGGCAGGGTTGTCCTCGATTCGCCGAAACATGAATCATGGATGATGGAGCATTCTATGTATCAGGCAGAGTTCAGATGTGACAGGAAGATTGCTTTGTCGTATGATGCTGCATTTCAGGTTCCCATTTAAGCTTATTGATTGCCATATATAGGCTCGAGCACTGCGGAGAAACATCTGTCATCAGGTTAATGCTTGTCTCAGGAAGAAGCATCTGTAGAGCCATAGAATGCGGGCAGGTGAAGAATCCCCGGATTGCCGGCTGTGCAAGAAGTGATCATTGAACATTCTTTTCGGATAAAACGATGTCTGAGAAGTGGAATTATCCTGCACAATGCTCCATCAACATGGACCAGAATTAGCCTTCATTTTGCCGGCAGTCGTGAGTCGTGACGCTGCATGGAACTTTACTACTTTAGCCGAGTGTCTGGACTAATGAATATAGTTGGAGCCCTGGACATAAGTCTCTGTATTGACATGGATTAGTTTCTCTCGCAGCTATTGAGGCCATATACCTTAGCAATGCGTGATGCATTCATTGAGTGAAAGGTAGATTTCATGAGAGTAGTACGATTCTCATAAGTTTCCCTCGTATACATCAATAAGTGTATACAATCATAATCCCCCATTCTCTACTTTTACCGCGACATACGGGCTCCAACACGATTCAGCACCTTGATCTCTCGGGGTTTGACGTACAACGGCATTGTCGCCGCAAAGTAATCCTTATAGTACGGCTTGTTGGCTTGAAAACCTAGCTCAATATCAGATCCTGCAGCATTTAAACCTATGTTTATTGAAACCTACCTCAACGAGCCATTCCTTGGGTTTTGACCTGTCCCAGTCAGCTATGGTCTTCATATCTCACCAGGTCCCCGGATTTTCAGGATCTTGATATACCTCGAAGAATGTGCATTCCGGCTCTACAATGACCTGCTCATATACTGGCTTGAAGGCTTTCCAGAATGTGGGAAGATCCGCAGGCTCAATGTAGACCGTCATGTGGAGAGAGATGCCTTGGAAACTCGACATAATGCCAAATGAGAGGCTGGATTTGAGATCTGAATGAGTCGTATTCTTTGACTATTGACCATCCTCATAGCATCAAGTATTTATTCTGGAGATTGACGTGAGGTCGTAGCGGTCAGCATAACGTTATGCTGGAGATGGCGTCAAACCTATAGCTTATCAGCACTAATGTGTTGCTTTCCCTTTTCTGACAACTTGAATACCATTGAAACGAATGTAACATTACATTCTAAATGAATAGAATGCTAAATTTAGCAGGTCATGTCCCTTCTTATTGCAGCATTGTAGTATTTTCTAACTCCAGCACTTCTCATCCCCCGAAACTGTAAGAATGTGGAAGCTTCAGGGCTAAAGTGTCTAAAGGATGTAATTTTAGTTCCTCTCTAACGTCACCTGTCTAAGACACCCTTGCCACGCGCGTCACCATTGGAGTTATCTCCGGTAATACTCTGATCGACGGCAAACCAACCGACGAGACATTCCAGGGTCGCATTGGCTACGTCCAGCAGCAAGATCTTCATCTCAACACCATGACCATTCGAGAAGCCCTCGAATTTAGCGCCCTTACGCCAGCCCCGCCATGTTCCCCGAGAAGAGAAACTCGCCCACATCGAGGAGGTGATTTATCTTTAGACATGCAGGAGTTTGCCGATGCGGTCATCGGTGTTCCCGGCGAAGGACTGAACGTCGAGCAGCGGAAGCGGCTTACGAGGAGATGCTGGAGGTAATCAAGGACAGCCGTTGGCGCAACGTTTGGCGCGCTTCTCCCGAGTATCAACAAGTCAAGGCGGAACTTGCTCGTCTGCGTGCCTCAGAATCATCACAGGGACAAGCTGCATCTGTGGCGCCCTCGATCCATATGACCTTCTGGCAGGAGTTCCAAGAGGTTTTTTCTCGCGTTGCCAAGCATTTCTGGACATCGCCTTCGTACATTTACTCGAAGCTATGTCTTTGCGTACTAGCAGGAGGTTGCGAGGCTTCCTCTCAAAAACGAACAGAACTGACAAAGTAGTCTCTTTACCTCGGCTTCAGCTCCAACGCCACCAAAACGCTTCAGGGCCTACAGAATCAACTCTACGCCATCTTCATATATCTCGTCCTCTTCGATGTTGTCGTTCATGTTGTTGCGGCTGTGGGTTGTATTGGGCGTTTTGGGTGCCGAAGAAGGCGGGCGTGCAACGAAAGGGTTAGACTAGATCATAAACTATAGAGGAGTGTGCTAGGTTCGTATTATAGTCGCGGAGATAGACGGATAGAGAAATTCGGATATTGCAAACAGATTGCTTAATAGCTTCATTATGCAGCTCTATCGCTGATGTTCATCGTAAGGAGTGACACATTCGGTATTACATGAAAATGAGACAGGCAAATAGAGACACGCTCCAATGATAATTGGAGGCTCACAGACACAGGTACAGGATAGTCAGACAGGTATTAGAAAAGTACAGCAGGACAGGACAGACAATTTTTTCACTCGTCCTTCACTCATCGCAGTCCTCGGAGTCGTCGCCGCCCATGGACGAGTCATCGCCCTCATCGGCATCATCACCGCACTCGTCGCAGCTGTCGTCGCCGTTGTCGTTGTCGTCACCGGTAGTAGCGTCGGCGCCGGTCTCGTCGCAGTCCTCACCATTGTCAGAGCCCGAACCACCAGTCGCAGAGGCACCGGCCGAGGCGCTCGCACCGGCACTTGCGGAGGCCGAGGCAGAGGCCGAGGCGCTGCCGCTGCCAGTTGCACTGCCGCCGATGCTGATACCGCCGGAGCTGGAGCCAGAGCCGCCTGCGCTTCCACTGGCGGAGCCGCCGACAGAACCAGGGCTGGAGCCAGAACCTTCAGTCGGGCTGGAGCTGGAGTCGGAGCCGGAGCCAGTAGCAGAGGCACCAGTGTCGCTGCCGGCCGAACCGCTAGCAGAACCACCAGTAGAGCCGGAACCTTCAGTAGAGCCGGAGCCGGAGGTGGAGCCAGTAGCAGAGGCACCAGTGTCACCACCTGTAGAGCCTCCGGCAGAACCACTTGCACTTCCTCCAGCGCTGCCGGTGGCGTTTCCGCCTGCACTGCCGCTGACGCCGCCGCCAAGGGAACCGCCAGCAGATCCTCCAACGCTGCCAGAGCCGCCAACAGAACCAGAGCCTCCAACAGAGCCGGTAGCCGAACCTCCGAGAGAGCCAGTGGCAGAACCAGAAGACGAGCCTCCAAGAGCACCGGTAGCGGAGCCACCAGCGGAACCTCCAACAGTGCCAGAGGTAGAACCACCGGCTGAGCCTCCAACGGATCCTCCAAGCGAACCACCAGCAGCACCAGAGGCAGAACCTCCGACGGCACCGGTAGCAGAGCCACCAGCGGAACCACCAGCTGAACCAGATCCTGTAGCAGAAACGCCGGTATCGCCACCAGCCGAGCCACCAACTGAGCCGCCTGCACTTCCTCCAGCGCTGCCTCCAGCTGATCCTCCTACAGAGCCGCCAGCCGAGCCTCCTGCAGTGCCAGAGGCGGAACCACCGAGGGAACCGGTAGCAGAGCCACCAGACGAGCCACTGGCTGAGCCACTAGCTGAGCCTCCTGCAGAACCACTGGCGGATCCTCCGGCCGAGCCACCAGCAGAACCACCAACACTCACTCCTCCTTCCCCATTTTCGTCGCAGTCTTCGCCGTTATCGGAGCCACCAGCGGAGCCACCAGACGAGCCACTGGCTGAGCCACCACCATATCCCCCTGCTGAACCTCCAGCGGATCCTCCAATTGATCCTCCAAGGGAGCCACTGGCGGATCCTCCGGCCGAGCCGCCAGCAGAACCACCAGCACTCACTCCTCCTTCACCATTTTCGTCGCAGTCTTCGCCGTCGCCAGCGCTGCCGCCTAGACCAGCGCCGAAACCACCACCAAGATGACCGCCCAGTCCACCACTCAAAAGGCCACCCCATCCACCACTGTGTCCACCGCTGGCGCCAGCAGAGCCACTGGCTTCAGCCTCACAGGCTTCACATTCAGCCGATCCACCGAGACCGTGGGAGAGCAGACCGGCCAGGAGACCGAAGGTACGGGCCTCCACGCGAGATTCCTCCTTGGGGGGTTGGGAGATGGGAGTTAGGAGTTTGCCGGCATGAGTCGGGGCGGTAGAATTCTGATTTTGAGGAAGGGTATGCACCGGCGCAGCCAGTGTCGAGGTCGCCGAGAGGGCGAGAAGAGAAAGAACGAGTTGCATATTGAACGAAAGCAAGAACGATGGTATTGACTAAATGAGAAGAGAAAAGAAACGAGAGGAAAAGAAGGATGAGATGCTTCTACCAGAGGAGCAGTGAGTGGATGAGTGGATGATTAGGAGGAATCAGACGGGAAGTCGAGAGGTATTTATGCATTTGTGATCACCCTTTGAGAGCTGGGGAGATGTTCCTTCTGCCTTTGGAAAGGCATGATTCTATTCCGGGCGCATGAAACAATGGCGTCCATAGGGGACAGGGTTCGATTGTGATCCGAGTTTGGGACAGAGACAAGGACATGGGGTGAAACCTGCTAGCAACCCGAGTTGGGGCTCCAAGGTCTGATCCAGAGTAGCAGGCTACTTCACAGTAACATCGTCGCTATGTGGGTTCATGCAGACGTCGATGCGATAGATCTGTCCACCATGAGTGTCAGTTAGTCTTAGGGCAACCATTAATTAGCTCGAGGGTTACAAACAAAAACGAATTCCATGCTTGTCTTCATGTTATCCCAATAAAAACTCATCATCCAAGACTGCAATGGGATGAACCAGCCCAAGTCTCTATACCATAGCTCGGGATAAGAACAATGGGAAAGAGAGCTGATCTCGAGTCATGCGACGATTAGAGTTATGCTGGCGGAGACTCCAGCCTTTAGCACGAAAAGATTGAACACCGCACGAACGAGTCCTCATTCTGAAACCTTCGACTGTCAAGTCTTGTTTTCGCTCAAGCTCGAAATTTCGATCGTTTGATTTTGGCTAGATCATGCGATCATCAGGGATTTACGCCGTAGTTCGGTTTGAGACGTTCTAAATTTGGTCTTCCGATTACCCGCACCGTGCACAAATCAGCCGGAATGCCTTGTTGGGTAAAGAAAGCGAGAAGAATCGAGATGTAACGAACTAATGATCTACCGCGAAAGCAAGTATGTCTCAGGGTAGCATTGGAACTGGGTTCGAGGATCATTCAAGGTCCCGGTATGAGTCTGGCTGCATGAATTGAGTTTCCTATTGACATTATTGAGTCAATGATTTGTTCAGCCTGTCCAAATTCCCAGAGCAATAGTCCTCAACTCACCAGGTCAAGGCATGAGAAAACATCAAACAAGGCCAGCGTCTGAACTCCTGAGCAGTTCCTCTGTTGCAAACCATACTGACTAGCGGGACTTGAAACCGTCTAGTCGATTCCGTGGTGGATATCGCCAAACTCTGATCTTCGATGCCAAGCACCGGACTGTTTCTTCCTTTCTGCAGGAACCTTGGAGGCTGGAGCTTTTGGGGAACATGTCTCACTCCGAGGTGATCTATCCGTGAGTCTTGATGGTGGAGTGGCCATCCCGTGATGATGTCGCCGACTGTGGTGAGCTCTCACCATGATTGCGTTGTGGTTCTGTGTGTGCAGGTGGATGAAACTCAGGGGTCCGACTAGACTGGTAGAAGCAGGTAAACAACCCCTGCCGCCAAGACCTCCGAGATTCTCCCCAGAATCTTCCCCAACATCGATCGATTTACTGATCAGTAATGCGAAATCCTTAGAATTCTTATCTAACATCCACCGGAAAGATGTGTTTCTAGCGTTGTGCGTGTTGAACTCGAATCAATCACTGCTAAATATAGCCATTCCTGAAACCTGACTATGCACTCGCGAGGACTCTCGGCTATCTACATCCTGGAAGATCAACATATGGCGCAATGAATAATTGCCTCAAGCTACACTGATCCCGGTGCTATAATTGTGCTATAATTGTGCTATAATTGATGCGTGAAGCGTTTGTTTTTCCTATTCGCGTATATGCTGATTGAAAACCCTGGATACTAATGTGTGTTTGTGATAGACGATCTACTCATCCTCTTCCTGTTGGGGATAAAGGTCTGAGTGAACATCTTAATCCGAGTACTATACCTAGAGACCGGACAGGAGCAGTATATGGAGTATGCTCAATACACTAGGAATTCCAAAGCCCATTGCTCGTTCAGATTGTGATCTCTCCGGTTGCTATACTAAGACAGCTGGTGCTGCAGACCAGATTATACCTAAGGCTGTAGAGCAACATGGTACTCAAAGGCGCAGTGTTCAAGCAGGCCTCTTAATATCATGACAGGCAGGAATCCATAACGAAATACGTGGTTCATAATAAGAAGAAATTGACTGAAAATAATACCAAAAATGGACTACGGACTATGCGCTACGGGCTGTGATTCTGCCTGGTACAGTATGAACGGACTACTACCTCAGCAGGCTGGTCCACTGCATCCAATGGGATACTTGGAAAGAAAAGGGAGACTCGATGTAGGATGAGGAAGACAAGAATGGAGAATAATCAATCATGGTTATTGAGGTTACCGCTGAACAGCTCGATATTGTGACGAAAACGACCAGCCGATTTCATCCGACTTCTTCGAATAAGCATATCTTCGGTATAGAATTGCTCATCACGGCATCTCAGTTGCTGTTGCTACAATATGTCCTTTCCCCCACCGACCTTCAGTCAAGTCAACGGCTGAAACTGGAATCCTCAACATCAACGCAACCTACTTTGGAGTCAAAACGCTTACTCCTCCCACATACTCCCGACCAAACAGTTTACTAGCCAGGGCTCAGAATGACAACGCCTATCAACAGACACATCCACCAGGTGAGACTCCAGCTCGTCATGACAGTGACTGATATTTAGCGGGAAAAAGATAGATAAACTCACCTCCAGCACCAACATAACCCTCTACCGAAAGATTGGGAATCAGGATTGAGAATCACAACAACTCTCAAGCCCAGAAGTCGACGCCGCCCACACACACGCCTTCGTGTTCTCCCTCGACAAGGTCCACGCCCTGGGCAAAGACCCAGCCACGCTCTACCGCTCGCCGGAGAACTACAGGTGGCAAGCACGCGTATATGGGGCTGCTAGATGTCTTCCACCAGCTGCATCGCTCGAATCATCTCCGGCAGGCGGCGCATCATGAGTATTACCGTGGTCGTTGGCGGGAGATTTTTGTTACGCCGGATAGGATTCGAGAATTGCCTGCTGACGGGGGTCAGAGCCTCCAAAGCTCGAGTTACTATTTGTATATAAGTGAGTGCCCTAATTTCTACTGAGCAGCTACGGTAAGATTCAAGATGAGATTAATGTCATTGGTCATAAATACTAATCATAAAAGACATCGTCATGGCATAAGTGGATATCAAGTCCATTCAGCTTCAAACTTGCAAAAGAAAAGATGCGATGGGTATCATGTTTAGAAACCACGCTGGGTGCCCAGGGTGCCACGGTTGTCCAAGTCGGAATCAACACGGGGATCCATCTTGTTCATCATGTTGGAGTTGTGGGGTCCCGCGGTGTGAGTGGCAGTGCCTGGGGTGTTGTAGCTGTTAGAAGCAAGAGCCTCATGGCGGGCGCGGTTATCCATGTCAGAATCCACGCGGGGGTCCACCTTGTTCATCAAGTTGGAGTTGTGAGGACCGGCGTTTGTGCTGTGGGTGCCCATGCCAGTGCCCATGCCAGTGCCAGAGCCGTAGGCGTGACCGGTACCATAAGAACCAGCGGTTCCGTGGTTACTGCCGTAGGCATTACCAGAGTAGGCGCCGCGGTTGTCCATGTCAGAGTCAACCCGAGGGTCCATCTTGTTGGCCATGCCAGAGCTGTGAGGGCCATAGGCACCCCCCATGGTCTCATGACGGGTGCGGTTATCCATGTCGGAATCGACACGAGGGTCCACCTTGTTCATGAGGTTAGAGTTATGGGGGCCGGCATTCGAGCTGGTGTGGTTGCCGAAGGTGTTTCCGGGGCCGGTACCGTAGGCACTGCCAGTGGTGCCGTGGGTACCGGTGGTTCCGTAAGCACCACGGTTGTCCATGTCACTGTCAACCCGAGGGTCCATCTTGTTGGCCATGCCAGAGCCGTGAGGGCCATAGGCACCTCCCATGGTCTCATGGCGAGCACGGTTGTCCATGTCAGAGTCGATACGGGGGTCCACCTTGTTCATCATGTTCGAGTTGTGAGGTCCGGCGTTGGTAGAAGTCGAAGTGCCGTAGGTGTCGCGGGCACCGCTGGCATAAGCGCCGGTGGTGGCTCCAGCGCCAGTGTAGGCGGCACGGTTATCTGAAAGAGTCAGTAAGTCATTACAAGTATTGGGTTAGTGCTTCTTACCTCTGTCGCTGTCAATGCGGGGATCAACCTTGTTGGCGACATTGGAGCCGTGAGGACCATGGGTTCCACCAATAGCTTCATGCCGGGCGCGGTTGTCCACATCAGAGTCAACGCGAGGATCAAGCTTGTTGGCAATCTTGGAGTTGTGAGGGCCGTGGTTCGTGCTGGTAGAGCCGGTAGCAGTGTGGTGGCCATGGCCAGGCTCGATCGTGCGAGGACCGTGGGTGCTGGTATGAGCGACCTTTTCACCATCCGGGCCGGTGGTTATCGTGGCATTGGAACCAGAGCGGTGGTCTTTATGCTTGCGGTTAGCATTTGCAGAAGAGCTTGAGGTGAACATGACTTACCACGATCGCTGTCGACACGGGGATCGAGCTTATTGGCGAGCTTGGAGTGGTGAGGACCATGGTTGGTGGTATGAGTGGTATCGGTAGTGCCATGAGTGCCAGTGGTATTGGAGGTGTGGGTGGAATCGTGGTGATGGCCAGTAACGGCGTCCTTCACCTTGTGCACGAGTCCAGACATTATGACAACTTATTCGTTTCTTGGGTATATTTCGAGAAGATAGAAGATAGAAGATAGAGAGTTCGATGATGATTTCGATTGCTGTATGCTGAAGATCAAAGCATTTCAAGAACATCATGAAGCTTTATATCTTTTTCAGTCCATCAAAACATATGACGTCACCTCTAGAGGTTGATGCAAAAACTCAATTCATGCGCGTTTCATTCACTCATGGGTCCCTCCACGTCAAGCCTGTCATGATCAGCTCCTGGCGGTCCCTGAATCGAGCTGCCAGATACAGGGTCTGGGGTCATATCATCATATGTCGTCATATCGAGGATACCAAGACATTATGTAACCCATTTCAAGGAAATCAGCAAAGGCTCCCTTCACCAGCCACAGGGGTAACGCCACAACAGTCTACTTTGCTCGAAGTCTCCTGTCATGATAATGTCATTTCGTCGTGAAGTATCAAAAGGTATTGACTGATCTCAGGTCGACTGGCAGATGAGGAGAACTTATATCACTCTTAGCTACATAGCTGGAACTTTTCCACCAATCGAGCTGGGAAGAAAGACACACGAGGTTCGCCCGGAGGACAATCAGATCAACCTTATCTCCGGTATAAGCCACAGGGACCGTCACTGCTTCTTTATTTTTAGGATCCAGTCTTCCAGTTGCAGCAATCAAGGGTGATGACTGATGCATGGAGCACTGAGCAATCGCTGATCATGACTTCAGCCTTATGTCTGAGGCGCCTGGATTAACTCAAAGAGGTTAGACTGGTGCGGGACAGCTTGACGCGTCGCGGTGGATATTTTGCCTCAGGCATTGGTCGCTGATGTCATCCTCTACGTCCAGGACGATTCCATAGAGGGGTATCAAAGGGGTATCTTGTACAGTGATATCATAAGGTATTCTGTGCAATGATAGGTTTGATTTCTCCCGCTGTGGAGATTCTCAACATGGTCAATTGTCCTTCGAATGTGGTAGCCTAAGCCGCCTTTACTTACTCCTATGTCTATTTCTTCGCACCCTACAGGTAGAACTTGTTGGGGATAGATCTACAATTGGACAGCTAATTACTTTACATGAGATCATATGTGCTTCGTGGTGTATCTACATTGGATTGCTAAATGTATTTGTCAATCCTGAGACTAAGTCGATTCTGAGTCATCATGACTCATTGCGCAAAGTAACTAGTAGAGTTGCATTATTCAAGAATTGATTCTATATCACTTGCGGGAGGGTATCTAAGCCCTCTTGTTGTTGATGCCAAGGAGCTCAACCTCGCTATAATCCAGTCAGCTCTGCTATCACTATCCGCAGCACACAGGGATGAACTTACAAGATGAGGGTAGAGTTGCCAGGGATGACAGGAGGGAAGCCACTAAGATAAAAACGTCAGTTCTACCAACACACGATGTCCAGCCGCAGACACATACCGAGCGCCATAGCCGTAGTCACTAGCACCCATTAGCAAACGGAATAGCATCAACCGAAGGTCAGGCAAACTTACGGGGTAATGGTGAGGACAGCCTTCTCGCCAAGGCTCATCTGAGGGACACCCTCATCCCAACCTATCCTCGTCAGCGCAGAACATCCTAGCGGATTCTGATCAAAATACCCTTGATGACACGGCCAGTACCAATCTGGGTCTGGAAGGGGTCATTCCGGTCGACGGAGCTGTCGAACCTGGGGTTGACCATCAGTAATCTTTATCATCTGAGGAAAGGCAGGGAAACCCTGCTCATGAAAAACAGTAGATAGCTATATTTGTCACCTACTTTGAGCCGTCGGTCAGTCTACCAGTGTAGTGGATGGTGACAAAGTCGCCCTTCTTGGGGAAGTCGACGCCATTGCCGGCGGCCTTGGTTTCCTTGGTGACACCCATTGTGATTTCTGGTGGAGATTTGAGGAAGATGGAGATGGAGTTGGAGTGGGATACTGAGATCAGGAGAAGGAGGAGATTTTTGCTGATTTTACAGGAGCAGATCTCCAGGGCGGGGTATCTCAACAAAAAGGGTATGAGGTGGGGGCACACCCCACTACTGCAGCTTCTCATTGGTCAACTACTGGGAGGAGCGAAATTATGTCATTCTTGGCATGTGATTAAAGATCAGTGACTTTTTTGATGTTCAATGCTACAGGTATCAATCTTCGACTCTTGGATGGCGATATCTTCTCTTGTTGCTAGAAATATAGCTCTATTCTTCCAGGATAGTGCGGATATATGTCCATCTTCATCAAAATCTGATTTGGAGTGAATGAACTCCATCCTCAATTGCCCATATTGGTGAGAAATTTGTGCTGAACCTATACAAAATTGTTAGCAATGCAGAAGAGGACTAGCAATGCTCTACGCTAAAGTACAAAAGCACAGGCGACAAGAGCTAATGTCATTACCTTCGAGTACTTCCCTTGCAAATCGAATCGAGGACCTTGTGTCAGTGTGCAACTATCTACTGATAGTCATGCCTAGTGACAGTCTACTCTAATGTCCATTAGGCATGACTGTATCACTGCAATGGCATGTATCTGTGGTGTTGTGACCTTTGAAAGGTGGAAATCGCAGTCGTCAATTACGAAGAGCCAAGGGCGCCATGGCGGGAGTAAGGCGCAGGTAGAGATCTTGACAGATCTGCCACGCTCGCTCTGAAGCAGCATGCCGAGAAGCCATGGCTAGAAGCCAGTGCATTCCTTTCTGTATGTATCTTGGAATTAGCACTGGATATTTGGCTCCGTGCTTGATGCGAGAATCCAGCTCGATCAATAGCACAGTGAGCGCCTGCATGAGATCATGCAATATGCAGCACCAGGGAGCAATGCGACCCAGCCAGATGATGTCAGGCTCATCGGGCAACTGCGAGAGCATATTGCAGGCCGCGTTGGTGCAGATTTCTGACATCTCCTTCCACCAGGGGCTTGTAGCTTGACCACTTCGCTCCCATCGGTGAATAGCGATCCGGGCAATCGTCATTTTCGCGCTATAGAACTGAAAAGCAAGGCACCATCGCTGCGTCTCGAATGTCGTGTCCTCCTGGGCGCGACTGAACTGGAATGGCTTGGGCAGCTTCGTTTGCAGGGAATTGATGGTCGAGATAAGCTCTTCAAGGGCCTTTTCCACTGAATAGCTGCTCGACCTGGTGGTCGCAGGAGCATAAAGCAGGTTGATTGCACATCGCATAATCCGAGCTATTTCAACCGTGAACAGAAAATAGAGCGACATGCACGGCATGACCGAGGGAAGGTCGGTTCTGGAATCCCGAGCCGCTGTGGACAGCAGGGATTTGGAAAGAGCACTTCGAGCATTCGAATCCGCGAGCAAGCGAGCAACAGATGCATCCCGAAACTGCTCCTCGTCAAATGGAAGAGGCAATGGCGCCGTGCAGAACTGATTCGCCACGCTGTACGGCCGACCCGTCATGACTGACAGAGTAGTTTCGAGAACGAAGATTGACCACCAAACTCGACAACGAAGCTCTTTCGAGATGTCCAAGGTATCTTTGCTAACACTCCTGAGATGAAGACCCATAGCGATGGCGGAACGAGTTGCCGTGCCGGATATTCTCCAAGCCCTGTCAACAGCCGTGTCAGACCAAGGGACATGATGAGTCAAAGGTCATACTCGAATCCATACTCACCTATTCACTTGGCCAATGGTCAGCAGATAGAATGCAGCAAGTCCTTCGACTTGAGCTTGTTGGATGTCAGGGTGAGGAATCAAAGGAGTATCAGCCAATCCCAGCTTGCTTCCCCGGGAGAAGTATATCGATGGGTCGTGCCATTCATCTGTCTCATCGAGATAAGTCAAGCTCAAGTGCTGCGCTGCAATGGCAAGGATCAAGTTGAAAATAGCCAGCCATTTTTTTGGTGGCTTGGATTGAGCCTCAGAGTATATCCGCCGATATTGGTGTAAAAATACTGTTTTGCCGACGATCGGGAACCCAGGATGCACCATGTCAAAGTAAGTATCGAGAAGTTCGTCTGCGACATCTTGCGGGGGGATAGCGAATGGCTGCACCGAGAGATCAACCGACAGGTCCTGATCGTCCAGAAAATAATTGACGGAGCCGATAGAGTCTGCAAAGAAGCCGTCTGGAGTTTCTGGACCTAACCAAGAGGCATTCTGCCGGAGCCCTTTCCGCTTCAATTGATGCAGCCATGACCTCCCCGAGTGTGCACCGATAAATCCTGTCGCCTGAGTTGTCTTGTCCTTGTTGAAGTCTTCCTCGACGGGATCGGTGGACGGGGTTACGAGGCGGGTAATAACGTCGGTCGATAGATCGCTGCTCGGACTAAGACTTCCAGGAGGCGTCTCCTTCAGAATTGTGTTAGTCCGAAAATATTTGTTTTCCAGCACTCAAAGGGACTTACCTTTTCCAGAGCCTTAGCGATCAATGGTTGGTCCCTAGCATCGGCGCTCGGTTGAATGCGCCGCAGCAGACGGTAGAATTCCTTCACCCGCTGCTCGAGATCCTGTAGACGTCTCACGTTGGGGTCAGTAACACGAACAATGTACCAAACCATTGGAGCAATTAGCCTACCTCGCGACCTTCTCATTCTTGCTAGCTACAAACACGCACTCGATTTTCAACTCGCGGCATCTCTCACATGGCGATCCCCCGGTGCATTTTGCCTTTTGCTCCCTGCAATTGATACAGGCCCTGGTCGCTCGACGGGTCCGAGGCTTTGCCGTGATGATCCGCGGTAAGCTGACCTTGGGCAACGATTGATTTGATGGTGATTGTAGGAGACTGTCGTCTTTCTGGGTACCACCTGGTGAGCCTGCTCTCTGACGTTTTCGTATCTGAGAAGTTTGACTCCGGGGTTCCATATGGTAAGAAACTAGTCAAGTGATGGATTCAGACATAATTGAATGACTGTGAGACAATTGCTGTATGATATTCGCGGGACGATTGGGGTCGCTCAGAACTGGAGATTGGGCATTTAAAGTACGTAGATCATGCCTGAGCCACATGTTTGCGAATTGCGGGACGATACGGGTGACCGGGTCCAGAGCTGTCAGAATGTCACACTCGGCCGTTTTCCCTTTCAGGTAATTAGGGTTCCAGAACATTCTTGTCGATTCCTTACATTTTTGGTGCGTGCGCAGCCACAGACGCAATGACTGGTCTCCTGGCCATGGAACAACCGGGGTACTTTTCGATAATTCCAGTCACAATTGAAGAATTTCATGATCAGTGGATTTCCCGTATACTTTATCCGCATAAATAAGCAAAGTAGACTGGACTGTCAAGGACTCGAGAACACCGGGATGACGTCACTGAGCGACGATGTTGATGCCACAACCTGAAGGCTCCACACTCAAGCCACTTTCATCAACACAAGCCACATCGAATGATCGAAGGGAATTCTCCAATCATCTGTGACTTTTCAGGGTGCATCTATTTTTATGTGACACGCTCAGCATGATTCGCATCAGTTTGTGGGGATCATTGATAATCAAACGCACGGCTGCACCCTGCCTCACAAAGCTCAAGGCGCCAAAACAATAACAAATGTTAGCACGCGCCGAACAAGTTGGCTCTTCACTTTCGAATGTTCCTAGCTTGCTCTCTGGGCCATAAACATCGAGAGATAGCGCTGCTGTGATGCTCTCCCAAAGCCAACCCCGGCTGCTACCTCTAAAGAGCCAGGCAAGGAGCTCAGCACGATCAACGGCCATGACTTTGTCTCTTCCCGGTCAGTGATTGCTATTTATGTCATTACTGGTAACCCCTGGCTGAGGGTTTTACTTATCCTAATCTTTTCGAGGATAGACCAGATATGGACGCGTTCATATCTTCGAAGATTGTGCAGGAGCATGAGTTCTAGGCAACCTCGGCCCTTTGCTTTCCATGGTCACAATGCCAGAGCTATTCATAGCATTTCTGCGGTGAGAGGTCGTCACTAAGCTAGACGAATCTTGATGGTTCGGCTTTAAAGGTCCCTATACCTTAATGAACCGCCAGATCGAAAACAGCCAGCGGAATCAGATAGCCGAGGAACAAAGAATTGGGATGATGATCACCTTGTCGATATTCCAGTCTTCGACTTTTCAAAAAGTATCAGCTGAGACGTTCAATCTTGAATTCCTTTCGGTGCTATACCGTCTCTTCTCTGGATGATCTTCCTAAGCCATCGGCGCTGTGACAAGGGACGCCAGCCAGGCAGTCACATACCAGTTCCCAATCCCTGCACCTACGCAGTCAAAATTTGTGCGATCAACATGAGTTACACTAACCTCTCCTGTTTAGTCTCGGAATACTTCAAACACTCGGATTGCGTCAGTTCCAGGGTATATGGCGTTGCGAGAGCGTTACCAAGGAAGGGGAGGTATCTGGAAATCGTTCATATACTTACAGTAAGATACTACTAAGCATCTAGGTTTGCTACAGCAGGAATCACGTCGCCCGCGTAATACTCAGTCGTCGACAAGGAGATAGTTGCCTGGGGATGGGTGTCTTGTCTTGGAATTAGAACATAAGAGCAGGTACGTTTAAGAAGGTCATTACGAACGAGTTTCGGTTTCGTCTGCGAGATGGCTTCCCTCGTCGAGGCCACTGCCATATTAATCCACTAGTTGAAGCTAAGGGTCGTGCACAATCTTAAGGTTGCTCCTAAAAGCCCGTAATACGCTTCTACAGGCTGCTATTGTACCTATTGCTCTTTCCAGTATTGTATCTAAGCGAAAAAGAAATAAATAATATAATCCTGTATACTGAACCTATACACAACAAATACAGTACAAAAACCACAAATCCATCCCGCCATAATCATCACAAAGCTACAAGCAAAGAACCGCCCAAACACTTTATACATCAAGCACTTTTCTTCCCCCCCTCAACAGAAGAATCAAGTACATCTCGCCCTCCTCTTCTCAATATAATTCGTGATCGGCCCATCCCCACACCTCGCATGCCTCACCAACTCCTCCTTCAGCGAGATCAACCCATCCCGCAGACTCTGCACCTGGCACTGCAGCTCGCGTTTCGCAAGCGCCAGGTCCTCGAACCGGGATTGCAGTTGCTGGATGTACTGCTTTTTCTTGGAGCGGCATTTCGTGGCCGCCGCGCGGTTTTTCTGGAGGTAGCGCTGCCGTTTGAGGGAGTCTGTTTGGGAGTCTGTGCCGTGCGGGGATGGTGCTTTGGAGGCTGGTGCTGTGAGAGATTGGGGGTTTATATGTAGAGTCTCTGCGCTGGCTTGCGAGGCTGTCCAGGGGAAGGGAGATTGCTGGTCGAAGTAGAGAGGTTGAGGGGGGAGGTTGGCGTAGGTGTAGAGCTGGGGAGGAGTGGTATAGGTGTATGCCTCGGCGAGGCTTTTCGATGCTTCTGGTGGAAATTGGGAATATTGGGTGGCGTAGGTGTATTGTGTGTCGTAGGCGGATTGATCAGACGAGAAGGATCCCGTTGGAGTTGTAGTCGTGTAAGTGTCTGTCGAAGAAGGATAGTATGGTGGCAAGAAGGTGTTGTAGTCTCCCGGGCTGTAGCTGGGAGGGGGATATGTTTCTGTCATTTGAGTGCACATATTGGGTGTATCACAACGAGAGTGGAGTGGATAATTGAAGGGAGTGAGGAGTGACCAGTCTGCCTAGGACTGAGGAGCCATGATATATGCGTGCCACCTCTTCGGCTAGACAGACGAGGCAGTACGCATAAAGCTGACAGAAAACGTCTGCGCGACATGGTTACGTTTGAGTCTCTTTTGGGCCTAACTCAAACTTCTTGTACTTGGACGTACTTGGGATACTCTTGCGAGTCATTGGTGGATGTGATTCAGCTTGAGTCCAAGATAGGCCTTAGTATGGCAATTAGCATTAAAGTGGAGATGACTGACTCTAAGCCACCGATTCGAATCGAAGCTCTCTTCCCGTGTCTTTGCCGACCTTGATAATCATCAATAATATCGAGTCTGATATCAAACGATTCAAAGCTAATGCAGCCGAGTTGCAATCCCGAACGCAGATACTCCTTATCGTTTCCCGTCATTCGTCGGAAGATATGGGCGCGATGGCTGGTTGATTAGGCCTGCAGGGTGACTGCGTCGGGAACAGTCTAATCAGACCTCTGTTAGCTAGAACTGCCAATTTCGGGGTTTGGAGTGTGGTTTATTTTCCCGGGTTCTTCGGTTGGTGCTTGATTTGGAGGGGGTTGGTTGAACGGTGCGTGCGTGGTGATGATCATTGTTCAATGGGGCAGAAAGTACCTCGAATGGTGGCGGTTGAGTTTGAGATTGCGGATCGGGTGTAACGGCAAATTGTGTCTGGGATAGCCGATTCTTCTCCTCGTTCTGAATACCTTCGACGATTGAGGCAGTGTATTCATCTCAAGAAGACACCTAGAGCTGTTTGGGGTTAATTTGGTTCATCTCGGGCGAGAACAGACCAACACTCGAGCTATCGCAAATCAACCAGAACAAGACAGACCGATGCTCAGAATCTCATCCTGCACATCGACATACCGTTTTGGTAGACATTCCTGGATATTGATTCTCATTGGTGTTAGATACGGGCCAGCTCTCCAGTGATTCTGTGGGGTTGCCAAGGAAGATTTTCGATCAGGCAATCCGACCCTCGAATGAAGTAACTGAGTCGATGCATATCATTTCGATCGAGATATGAATGGTCCGGATGCCTTCCCCGACCGTTGAGCAGACCATCACCAAGACATGGCCAAGCTGAAGCCAATACTCGATGAGGGGTAACATGGTCAACAACCAGCCCCACCACGAAAACAGGCTCAATCTCAAGGGGATTGCCAATGGTCTCGACGGGATACTTTTCCCTGACCTACCAGGTATCTTGCTTATGTTGGATTGGATAAAGAACTCCTTTTGGCTCTGATGATGACGCGGACACTGGATGTAGTCAGCGTTTGGATCTATAGTATACAGTGTCATCGCTGCTTTGAGGATGGTCTTTGAAAGCCTCCGACGGCTACAGTCGGCCAATACGAACTGAACCTCGTCATGTTTGTAATTCTCAATCCCTCTTCCTTTGTGCTGAGTAGATATTCATAGGAACTCGAGTTCCGTGGCATCTTGCTCCATTCCCACTATTGAAGCTTGTCAGAAGAGATCTGCGTCGGCAGGGATCCCATCAGGATTCATTTCCAGGACTGCACTATGAAATCAAACTGCATGAGAGGTACCTACAGAACGGATCCTTGGGTTTCTGAAAGAGTTTTGGCGTTTCCTCTTTGGTCGACCTCATTTGCCAACCGTCTTCTATTGGCGGAAGGGTACTCGGGGAATTCATCGATAGTTCCGAAAACTCAATTCATGTCAACTTGACCAAAGAGATAGTCAATACTCGAGACCTCATAAAGTGGAGCAGTGCACAGGACGCAAACCGGTTCTGAGGATTAAGATTAAGCCTCGTGTTGGCCATGAATAGCGGGGAGGTCGTCGATTCCTTTCATACTTATATGTCCAGTGTCCACATATGAAGCTTCTGGCTCTGGGGCCGATTGGTGGACACCACTTGCTATCCATGGATTGCCGGACGTCTTTCGAACATGGAAGGACATGATTCATCACCAATCATAGCCACGATTCTCGAGTACGGCTATCTGAGCATTGAGCTTAAACACACAGATAGGGAAATCCCCTGCGGTCCAATGCTGGACTTGGAAGCGGCACCGCTAGACAGCAAAGGACTTTTTATCCGGATGAACATGGCCCAAACTAGACTCTCGGAGAACCTTTTTGGGAAGTCCTGCGGTGGACACCTCGGGGAGAACACCCGAACAAGACCAGATTTCGAGAGTACCTTGCAAGCTGCTGCTCACTGGAAAGAGCTTCGATATTGCCGAAGAATAAGCAATACCAGAATGGGTACATGTCAGTGCCATTCACCCAGTTTTCTTTTTGAGCCACTATTGAACTCCTTTACCAGCTTTGCGGCCATGTCAAGCTCTCTTGACTCTGAGGACTTGCTGAGTTCTTTAAAGCCAGAACGCGAATCAATGTTGCATGGATACCTCCTGGCTGATTGCCGGCTCCAGTCAAATCTCTTTCTCAAAGTAATCCTCATCTCAATTCGGACCCGCTTGGCAATTGGCTTGCTTGAGAGCCCGAAGTTAGCAAAGCGGCATTTGAGTCCCGCGCAGCTGCATCACTACCATCAGAAAGCTCTTCGTATTTTGTGTTGAGAGTGCTCTACCCTCACTCCTAGACCAGCTCAGTCATGGGACACATTGCTCCCCGCTCCTTTTCATGAAAAAAGACGCGACAGAGCTTTGGTACAATAGCATGTCGGTGCCTGCTTCGATGCAATGTTCTCAAGGTTGCGTGTGAAAGATATGATCCGTGTTGAGACTGGAACTCTTCTCGGTCGCTAACGGTGATCTTAGAAACCCAGATCTAAGGTTGGCGCACATCACATATCAACTATTAGCCCTTCGTAGGGAGGTCTCTGAACACTTTCCTTTGCGGAGAGTCGCTGCTGAGGTCTGTGGGTGTCATTGTTGTCAGTAAAACAGTACTTAGCTCATGGGACGGCACGTTTATACTAAAAATTATCAGTTCTATTTTTCATTTTCCTCGCTGATGAAGTTGGAAATAAGAGACGTCAGATATTGCTCGAGTTGCTGGTGTTGGATTTCTGGAGCGTTGGAAGAAATGAAGAGCCTTGAGAAGGGTCCGTCCATGCTCAAGAAGAATAAAAGCGTTGTTGTAGGAAATTAAACACGTCGATGACGGACATCCCCATCGCTGCCTGAGGCAAGAGGCTACCGACGTGGGCCTGTCTGCCTCGAAGGTCTGTAATACTGACCCGAAGACAAAGCTACTTCTCTGATCATTCCTTAGCCCTGGGAGTCTGAGAACAAAGGAAAACAAAGTGATCAATTTGTTAGCTTCTTGCCCTACACACAATCTGTCCAATGAACGACTGAAATATTCACCATAGAAACGAGTGCTTTAAGACAATTCAATAATCCGTAAGTGGTCTGCAACAGAGAATGCAGTCCAGGATTTGATGAAAATACGGGCCACGCACCTCGATGCTTCGCGGTATAGAGCTTTCAACTACCTCAGTTGACATTTTCTGATACCGACTCCTTCTCTCAGAGCATTCAGGCTTATGGACTTTCTGATGGCAGCTTCGGCAGACGGGACAGGTGGGACACTGATCAATGATGTGTCCCTTCTCATGGCAGTACGCGCAAGGAAGATTTGGACATCTCAAAGTAATGTGCAATCCCATTTCACCACACCCTTTGCAGGCGGGGGTTCTGGATTATACATTTCGATGACCTATTTGATGAGGTAAAACTATAAAATCTTTGGATTGCGTTGGGTTGTTCGATTGAGATGACACCGTTGTGGTATGTGTAGGGGAAAAACAGGAGGATGAAGGAGCATAAGAACTCCTGTGTAGCAGGTCTCAGTGAAGATTCAGTATAGGACACTTGCAGCTATACCATTATCCAATTGTCATTGATCAACTCTAAGAGCTGGCTGTATCTAGATCTTCTGATAGTGCTTTCTTCTCCACGATAGAAAGGGTGGCAACCTCAGCGATGAGATGCTGGATAGAACACTCTTCAGAGAGATTCGAGGTAAGATCAACAGTCTGAACAAGACAGATTCGAAGATGCCACATCTGTGCGGCCGCGTAGCACACGTGCTTTGCGACTGAACAGCATCTCGAGCTGGATTTGTTAAGGTAATCTTTGATAAAAAAGATGTACAACTGCACTTCTGAGGATCTACTTGAAATGAACTCTCAACACGAGGTGTGAGATATAAAGAGAGGAAGAGTTGAACTGTGGAAAAGATGCTTCTGTTTCTCACCTTACTTAGGGCGTAGTTGGTGAATATAAGTAGCCCCTTGCCTCCTCTCGGTTCTCTCAAGGTCAACATCCTTGATGGCGTGATATTCAGTATGTATTCACTTCGCGATGCAGAAAGTAAACATAGGGTATATTTTCTACTTTACAGAGGACTTCTGAGCTCGCTACAAAGTGCTGTGCTCTGGCAGACTGGTCAGATGTACCAGACCATATTCACTCTAGACCACATGGAACAAGGTGCGTACTCCGATTCACTGTATCTGGCGAAAAAAATTCATTATATTGGATACCTTGGTCTTTATATCTCCTGCATCAAGACGTTTAAGCCCTCCCTTTCTTTGTGCTTGTGAATAAAGACAACTCTCCCAGCCGCACCCAACCCGCCTTTAATTTCGAAGCCATTTTTAATCTTATACCAATTCTTCTACTTTCCTATGCAACATTCTCTCATTCAAATTTTCTATATTCTGGTCTCCTCGAAGTGCAGATGCTCCATGTCCTCATTCTAAGAGCCTTTTGATGAATAGAGCCTGCTCACAGCACATCTAGTCTGGTACTATGTATAGCTTTTGGCACACATAGACCCCTGTGCAGCAATATCTTGCAACCCACCTGCTATTCTGCAGACTTTGAAGATGCAGGTAAGGCTGTCTCAGTTATCATGCAACGTCCTTCTGGCTCTGGCGAAATATCAAGTGAGCTAATTTAGGTCAGTTCCTCAAAGACTGCAGAGTTATGAATTCCCACTCATCATCCTCTCAGCATATGAAATGACGGTTCTGCCATTGCCTGCATCTGAGTCAACTGTTGATCATCATGATCAGTCTTCTCCGGTTTTACCGGATTGTACCAGTCCTCGGTACGGTTGTGGCTATGTCTCATCATCTGACTGATGGATTATTACCTGCAGGTTCTACTTCGAGAACCGACCGCAAATAGGTAAAAAAAAGGGAGACTGAAACCGACAAGTCAGGGATTCGACCTGGTTCTCGAAAGAATCAGCTTTCTAGGAAATAAATGATTTCCTATTTGAAAGGAAAGAAAAAGAAAAAGGAAAAGAAAAGATAATCGACAAGGACCGGATTCGAACCGGCGCTCCCGAAGGAATTTGATGTGAGTGTGATAACATAGACTGGGTCCAAGGTTATACCACCATTCGAGTCAAACGCCTTAACCACTCGGCCACCTTGCCAGTTGTTGAAATAGTAAAAATTCTTTAATATCTAATTCTGGCAAAAACAGGAGGATAGCACTGACATTTTGTTAGCGACTTCAGTTCAGGACGTCATCACCAGTATCTCTGCACTCCATAACCTCATTTATTTTTGTGAATATTTCAGCAACAGGCAAGGTGGCTGGGTGGTTAAGGTGTTTGACTCGAATCGTGGTATAACCTTGGACCTAGTCTGTTGTTATCACACTAATATCAAATTCCTTTGGGAGCGTTGTTGAATCTAGCCACTTGTTAATTATCTTTTCTTTTCCTTTTTCTTTTTCTTTCCTTTCAAATAGGCAATCATTTGGATTTCCTAGAAAGCTGATTCTTTCGAGAACCGGGTCGAATCCCCGCCTTGTCGAGTATTTTTGCTCTTTTTAGTACATTCCTCCTAAGATAAGTAGATACCTTCCTCCCCTGAATTAAGCCCGCCCAGTAGCATGTATTTAGTCCACCCACATAATAGCTCAATTTTTCGCCCTTCATGTATATGAGTATTTACGTTTGCTATTATCAAACAAACTAAGCTTAATAGTTCTCAGTTTCAGTAAGATGGCCGAGTGCTTATATATATCTTCGGTCCCGACTTCGCCGTTCACGCGCAATCACCTATCAATCTTCCTAACAGAGCACATCTTGGGGCGTAGGAATCTACGAAGAATGTGTCAGATTGCAGGTAATGTTGTAATATGATTACGCTGGTAATCTGAGCATGTAGAGGTCAAACTGGGACATATTCATGCTGTGTCCATGAATGTATGTGATTTTCTATGTAAGGAGCGACAAGACCAGACGTTCTGGTCAACTGAGTCTAACTAGAATAGGCAAAGCAAGCGAGCGTAAAATATACAATCTGGTACCAAAGATACAGTGCTTCGACAGAATGGAATTTAGCGTTGCAGGTAACCGTGTCTCCAAGTAGACTGCATCAGTGAAAAAGTAATTGATGGAGGAAAGAGACTCCGAGATAGAAACAGGAAGGTTCCCAATGTACTCCGTAGACCGGCACTATAAGACATATAGTTTCCAAAGTCTTTAAGAAGAAAACCCATTTCTGACTGGTAACATCATTTGTGTAGAGGATCCATCAAAGCTTGGTGGTGGGTGGAGTAAAAAGTAATGAATAGAGGAGAAAAGAATTCGACAAGGCAGGGGTTCGACCTGGACTCAGAAGAGATTAGATTAGCTATTTTAAGTGTCTCAACAGACATCGGATCGAAAATTCCCAAGTCAGAAGAGACAACTTCAAATCCTGAACCAAGGGCTAACAAAATGTCAGTCCTATCCTTCATCCTTCATCTGGTGCACAAGTCTTCGAACGCTTCTAGCGGATGAAAGATTGTTTCCTTTGATAATTGATACTAATTTCTGGCATTTCACTATCGGCAAGGTGGTCGAGTGGTTAAGACGTTAGCCTTGAATCGGTGTGAGACTCTGGTCTGGAGACTCTGGCCGGGTCTTATAAATCACCTAAAAAGCTAATCCCTTCGGGGTCGCGCGTTCGAATCGCGTCCTTGTCGAATAAAGGAAATTAAAAAAGTTTCCCCTGCTTTTTTTTCAACCATCTTAGAAAGAATACAGTTTTTTTACCCCAAAATTACAAGACATAAATTGACCTGTGATTGTCGCAATTGTATATTGTATTTGGAGAAAAAGGTTTTTTCGATGGGGGGTGGCGGGTTGTTTGTAGCTTTGTTCCTTGGTCCGGATTGTTGCGTTCTTGATCTTATCCGCAGCGATTCGACTCACACAACCCAGATATTATCGAACCAAAGAAGAAGCGTACATGCTATGTCATCATCCTTGCTCCTGTTCAACATGTTAGTACACTGCTATTGCTACTAGGCTAGGAATGGTTGTCTAGACGCCTTTTTTAGTCGAGTGGTTTTATGGTTGACAGCTCCCTAGACGCCATGCAGAACAGCCAAAAATATGGGTTTCTAGTGTTGAGAAATACATGACAATGTATATAACAGAAGGGATGCTATCATGAATTATTCTCACTTATCCAAATTGGACGAACCGTCCGAACCATAAGCAATGAAGAGATTTACCCCTTCATCAACCACCTTTTCATTCCTTTTTGGCTGAACGGTATTCATCCTTGACATAAATATCTGAAACAAAATCAACTCCCTCGGACAGCGCTAAATCCATCATCCACTGATACAGCAGATGTGATACCCTCACAACCGTCAATATCCCTAAGCGCCGACATGCCAGGGTCCACAAGTCCATACCAACAGTTCTCCGGCGCTTAGCCTTCTCAAAAATAGGTAACCAGAAGACGAAATGACTTAAAAGAGCCCATCGACGCATACTCTCATCTCTAATGCTGTCCCTAAGCAGCACAATGTCTCTCCCAACAATATCCCCCCTCCTCCTCACCCTCCTCACACAAGCCACAGCAACATGCTACTGGCCCAACGGCGACACAGACAGCAACTACATCCCCTGTCCCAACAGCAAATCCTGCTGTCTCAAAGGCGAAGCCTGCCTCTCCAATGGACTCTGCTACGGCGCAACCCTCAACATCGCGTATCGCGGCGCCTGCGCCGATAAATCGTGGCCGAGCCAGGAGTGTCCGCATGTGTGTCTCGATGGTACGCGTTCTCCTTCCGTGCTTTCTCTCCCAGTGACTAATGCCAGCGCAGCGATACCCGACCACTGGGCGAATCTCTACTCGTGCCCGAATTCCTCGACGAATGTGTTCACGTGCGGGTATGCGGGGTGGGCGACGGACGTCTGTAGTGCCAATCTGGGGCAGTGGCAGTGGGTGAGTGGGGAGGTGGAGGTGGCGAAGAATGGGAACTCGAGTTCTGCGTCTGCGTCTGCTTCGACGGGGCCGGAAATTATCACGACTACGTCGTCGGTTTCGTCTGCGGGGACGGCGAGGGGGACGAATACGGGGGATATCATCACGACTACTGGGTCTGCGACTGCCACGGCACGGAAAGATTCGTCGGATACGTCTCTCTCTGCGACGACACTTGGGGCGGGATTAGGGGTTGGACTAGGCGTTCCACTGCTCGTTGTCTCGGGTTTATTGATCTTTTTTATCCGGATGCGAAGGCGAGCGCCGGCGCCACCGGTCAATGAAAAGGTCTACCCCGGAGCTGTGTACTATCCAGGCCCGGTGGAGATTGCCACGCAGAGACACAATATGGCGATGGAGTTGGAGGGGGCACGGGAGGATCGACCAGAGTTATATGGGTAGTTTGGTAGATTATGCTGTATACTTGTATCGAATGTACATTTCTGCTCTCAAACCTGCCACCACCCCGGCGCAGACCATAGGTCCATCGTAGCCTGTCCCCCCACATCAGACCACGCCGTATGTCCCGCCCAACTGATAAAATCACAAACATCCTGACTCGACACGCCCAGTTCACTCTCTGTAAACGCCATCGGGACGGCCTGCAGGTCCTGAACACCCCACTGCTGCAAATCAACCGGATCCACCCGCCCGGCCGGAGCAGGAGACGTCCCATCTGACGACGACGTCTCCATCCTAGCCAGCGCTGCCCGGAAAATCCGCGCAATGAGATCCAGACTCGGCCGCGCAGTCGGATGCCACGCCTCAACGCGCGTAATCGCAGCCATGGCTACCTCGATCTGCTCCCTGCACGACTCGACCACCTCCATATCCACATCCGTCTCCGCCGCGCCGAGGATACTCAACGTCAACAGCGGCACCAGCGACGCCTGAAACCCGTGCCAGATGACCCCCCACGCAGCCGAGGGGCTCTTCAACTCCGCCTCGGCGATATCGTGGATCGCCTCGCGAGCGAGCCGCTGGCACTTTTCGATCGCGAGACACTCTTCGGTGTGCAGTGCGATGTTGGGGACGCGGCGGAGGGCATAGCTTAGCAGGACGGGGCGGTAGAGGAGGATGCGCAGGTTATGTAGGCTCCAGCGCATGAGGGTGCGGGCTGTGTGTATCGAGTCCGGGCAGGGCTCGTACGCTTTGAGGAGTGAGGGGAGCTGCGCGTACCAGTCCATCAATTCGGCGTCGAAATCTTGGAGTTGTGCGTAGCGGGGGAGAGGGGATGCGGCGAGGGCTTCCTGTGCGCGCGTGGCGATCTGGCAGAAGCGGATGTTTTCGATGAGGATGAGGGTGCTGGATGAGTTCTTGCAATGTTAGTTGACGAACAATGGGGCAGAGGAGGGACGTACAACTCCCAGATTCTGCACGGGCGGCTTCGTCGAGACGGCCATCGACGAGCGGCCCAGCGTCGGCCGTCCGAGCGTCATGCAGCCCCACGTATCAAGGCAATACAGCGACCACCAGATTCGCCGGCGCAGTTCGACGGGCACCGACGACGGCCGGAGCGGCCTGCTCTCGCTCTCGTCTGTATCTGCGATTTCCTTGTGCAGGCCTAGCGCGGTGGCCATCCGTACCGCGGCCCCGATGAGCACGTATGCCAGGTTCGGCTGGCTGATGTAGTGCAGGTAGTGGCCGGCCATGATGCCGAGGGTCTGGACGGTCTCGATGTGCGCGCTGCCGAGGGTTTCGAGAGAGAGGTATTGGCGTGCGCGCTTGCAGTACGCGAGGTGCGAGGTGTCGTCGCTGGGGTAGAGGGAGATGCTACCTAGGGCGAGGACCATGTTCACGAGGGCGAGCCAGTGCTCGTCGCGTCGGGTGTTGGATATGTAGGTCTGTCGGAATTCGGTCTCGTCGATGAGCGGCATGGAGGGATGGATGAAATTGAAGTAGGCGTCGATGAGTTGGAGGTCGCTTGCTTGGGATTGAGTTGATGGGGATATGAGGGAGTTGGTTTTTTCTCCTCGGCTGCTTCTCGATGGGGTTGTAGTGGACGGTCGAGCTATTGATTCTGGATTGACCCATTTGATGACCTTGAGGACGGCATTGATGGAGGAGATGCCCAAGTAGGTGGACGGCGGATGCGTCGCCATGGACAGCGCGTTGACATCGTCCGATACATCATCATTGTCATTGTCATTGGCAGCATTAACTTCCCCACTCCCAGCATTTTCCATTAACATCCTCTCCAAAGACGATTGCGAGACATGATCCTCCCCCGGACTCTCTGGAGACTGCGGAGCGGGTTCATCTGAGGCAAGTACGCTATCTCGCAACAAATCCAGCAGTTCGTCACGAGTCAGAGTCACAAGCGATTGCAATGAAACTGAAGGAAACAATCTCTCCAGAACAGATCGATACTGACTATCTGCGGAACCCTCATCTCGGGTCCTGCTGTGTGGCACTCGGGGATCCGAATAGCGGCACAGCTCGGGCTTCTTGTAGTACAGACACGGCTCACAAGGATGCGTCCCCGTGCAGCGGATCTTGCGTCGACGACATTCTTTGCAGGCTCGTAATCCGGGTCGTCGTCCACGGCGTTCTTCTCGAGTCGCGGTGCGCGGGTTGTTGTGGCGGAGTTCAAAGGTGTGGAACATTTTCAGTGAATGTTTCCGTTGAAGTAAGTCGAGTTATCATTGATGCTTCTTCATCAACATCATATGTTTGAAGTCATCAGGTTGAGTAGAGTGTCAGATTTGGTGAATGTGTGGTGATTGTCAGGGTGTCCATCGGCCCAACTCCTGTTTTTTGCATAATCAATCATAATAATGATAATAATACGATGGATGAATGAGAACTGCCACAGTATTTGCCCCGGATTTACCCCGCAGAGTGAGATACCTTACTTTAAAGCCAAGAAGCTACATACATAGTGTGATCATCTAGGGTGTGATGAGTGTATGTGCCCTCAGTAATGCATGCATGCCCTTCTGAACGCATCACACTGTACTGAACATCGTCCAGCTGAAATAGACTATTTATTTCCTGGCATGAGGCTTTAGGCTATCAAGTACGGAGTATCTAGTCCACCATTCATGTCTCAGTTCTTGACAACTTGGCCTTAGTTTGTTTCAGATAAGTAGTCTCCGGCTAATGTTGTTGAAAGCCGATAGTTTACTTCATATATCTATAGGAAAAGGCCACAGATTTAATTTCAGGGTCTAGGGGTCTTCGAGACTAGGAATACAATCTGTATCAAGCATATCATTTTGATAGAATTATAGCAAGACTCACCGGAGCTGAGCCATCTGATAGTTAAAGCCCAAATCTGCCAACTTTACAACAATATTAGCCACAGTCGAACTGATCTGAAGTTCCGCTAGTCCGCCCTCTCAAACAACCAAAAACTCTTACAGAATGAAACCCTATCGACTGGAAGTTGGCGTGAAGTGTCAGCGTGGAATCTCAATGCCGAAAGAACTAACACATATCAAGTACGGTATTCTTTGCCGTACCTGATCAGGAAGCTCTTTAGCTTTAGGCCTCTTTCTCGATCTACTGTCGAGAAGGAATCCGAGTCCGAGTCCGAGTCCTCGAAGCCGGCTGGAATTAAGCTCATCGGCTCGTCGGGTCGAAAGCCGATGTACGCTGAAGTCTGAAGAACTATAAGCGCTGAAGTCAAGATCATTTGTTATTCGAGAGCTGAAATATGATGATGTGTTTTATCTGAATTTGAATAGGCGACACTCACTCAAGCCATTGCTGAGGAGTTCCTATGCTCTCCCTGCTGTAGCACAGTGTTCTCTCACATGGTGACACAATGACTATCGCAGCTGCCTTAAGAGGATCGATCGTGAGAATATCATATGATGCTCGAGGCTGATTCTTTATTCCTCTCACTTCATCTGAGATATCTTTCCCTATCACTGTCCAACCCGCAAACATCAAAATGGAATGCCAGGAATGCCAGGAATGCCAGGTAGACTCCAAGAACCCCTCCCATACCAACTACAAAACTGACAATCAAGGCCCCGCCAGAAGATGCAGGCATGCGCGAGGTCCGAACCCTCATCCACTCCCTCAAACACTCCCCCTCCAGAGAAGGCTTCGTTACTCTGTGTCAAGACGGCGTCCTACGCAACTTCAGCTCGTCCGGGGAAGTCGTCGATTACAAGGTCTTAAATCCAGAACAGATATCGAGCGCGGTCAGACTGTTTACGTTGAATGAGCTGCTGGCCGATCAAAAAGATCACTTGGAGAAGGCTTTCAAGGGAGTGGATGGACGGGATGTTCCCGAGGAGAAGCTGATGAAGCCAGATCTGGAGATTATTCCGGAGGAATTGAGGAAGGGAAGTGCATGATGTCGCCTATTTTCAGATGATCATCTACATACAAACAGGTAGCTTTCAAAGGAGCTAGTCTGCATCAATAACAGATCTTCCACCGAGGACTCATCGCCGCATCAGCGTAGGCACACCGATGACAGCCCATGTAGCGACACGCGCCCGAGGTCGTGCACTGTTTTCCCCGGCGATACGGCTGGCTACCCTCGAGCGCCTCAGTTGCCGGATTTGACTCGATTGGCGTAAACTTGGCCAGGTCCGCGGCCCACAGATCCGGATGACTGAATTCGAATGGCAAGAGATCCGCACCGGGCTCGAAGATCTGTTTTCTGTCCACCACGTCGTGTCCGTTCACGCCCTTCCAGACTTCCTTGAAATTTTTCTGGGTTGCCTCGTCGTCGGTGTACATTGGAATGAACTGTAGTAGTTGCTCGTTGGTCAAAGGCACGTAGTCGATCACGGTTCCGTCTGCTCTGTAGGATCTCGCGACGCCGTCGTCGGCGACGTGGATGAAGCCCTGGAGATCGAGTTCGAGGGCAGAGAGTGGATCGATCGGAGCTTCTGATTCCTGCTGGTTATGGATGGTCAGTTGACGGGTTTGATGGAAGCGAGGTGTTTGAGGCTGGAGTACCGCAGCTGCAACAAGGAATATGAGGAATATGACAAGTATTTCCAGTAATGGACGCATGATGACTGCTTGTCAAGCTCGCTAAAGGCTGTAAGAAGTTGAAAGGTTGGGAATCTGTCCAGAGGAGAGTCGAGTGAGTCCGAGAGTAACCTCAGTAGCATGGAACTTGAGATTTTTCTAAAGGAAAAAATATCTCGAGTACGCTCTCTTGATTGAATTCACTATCAAAAAGTTGTCAACTAAGCGGATCCTCGAACAGGGCTTAGGATTTTTCATTTCTCTGACCTTGCGACATTCACCAGGATACATCAGACTACCTCACGCACAACAGATAGGCAGTGAAGATTGGATCTACATGAAGCCATAATGCCCCCGAAATATGTATTTTTTGGACTACCCATAGGAGCAATTCAGAACCACCTTAGGCTGTGTTGATAAGCATACCAAAAGCCCACTTATTAGTATGTAAACATGCATGACCCTTTGCTATCCAAAGGCGATACTGTATCATGCAGAGATTATAATGATCAGATTGGAGACGTAAGAATAACCTCTCTCCTCAGCTGGGCTATGGAGAAACTAGCCAGAGTCCTTAATCTGAAATGCAATATTGATTACCCTCAAGCGCCTCAGTTGCTTCATCCAAGTCAATCAGAGTAAACTTGGCCAGTTCCGCAGCCCACTGATCCGGATGATGAATTCAAATGGCAAGAGATCCACGCAGACTACACGATGCCAAATCAATCGTCCCTGGGCCCAGCAGGTTAATGCCAATTTCGCTATGCTAGTGAGAGTAGAAGGAGGTTTGGGCCCATTTTTCCCCTGTTTGGTCCTCATTAGGTCAGTGTATAGCACCTCCGCTTCGCGATATCTTCCATCGCTGTCAAGGCAATCTGCAATCTTCTCAATCAAATCGATATACTGTTGCCGCTGTGTTGTGAATTCCTCTTCATACATAAGGGATAAAGCATGTGGGAGGTATTCTCTTCAGAGTCCTAGATTTGTATAGCGATTATCTGGGAACACTTTGCGCATCTGATCAGCGGCCCTCCGAATCGGGAGAGATTCTAACTACGACAGGAGAATTTCAAGGAAGATTTATCGGGTTGGGAAGGGAGGAGGGGTCACCAGCTGCGTGCCCTGACAAGGCTGCCTCAACTTGAGCAGCTTGTTGGTTGATAACTAATTGCCAAAGTGCATAATCATCACCACTCAGAAGCCATTGGATTGTTCGTCACAAGCATTTTCCAGCCTCTAAATCAGAAGGCCAGTCCAGTTTTATCCAGGCTCTTGCTACTAGGGCCTCTGCGAACGAAATGACACTTTCACTCGAGCGGTGCTTAGAAGAAGTTCTAGGCCTGGATTCAACCTTAGGCTGCTCCGCAAATATGTAGGCTTCCTTGCCAGGGTGAGTAGCTCATGTTTGTCTGGCCACACTCCAGTTTGGCCCCAAAGGCGAATACATTTAACAAGAGATGCTGCAGCTATGCAAAAACTCAAAACATTTGAGAAACGCCCCTTGGGCCCAGGGGGCCCATTGGACGGTAACATGAGGACTTAATTTAGTCCGCAGTGGAAATGGCTGTGTCATTCAGCATTCGCATGACGCATATTCCTTGATCTTCCTGATTGAGTCACCCAAAGCCTCCCTTTCAATACGTTCTTCTTCACTTAACTCTGTTATCTCTGAAAGAACCAGTATCTGCAAGTTGATGTCAGTAAGGCACAGAATATTGGCGAAAGAAAGTGACAGTTGTTTCACCTACAAGATCGTTTTTCCATTCTGTAAGGGCCAGACTCAATAAATGTCGTCCATCGTATGCAGGGTCGCTTTCAGAAGGGATATAATCTGTAATATCCCAGTCATGACTGGGCGGACCGAGGGAGCCATCAGCTTCACGAGCCGCATCAACCATGTCTGTAGAAAGTACTATGTTAGTCACTATGGTGGATGATCTAGAATGGAATCGGATTCCGTTCGCAGATCTTTGGCATGCACACCCTGGTAGAAATCCAAAGGGACAAGCTCACCAAGGAGGGCGTGATCTCGCTGAAGGGCCCGGCGGGAGGCCTGCCTGGTCTGTTGCCAAAGGCCATCTGCTATGCTCCACTCGTCCGGTTCGGTGTTTGCACTTTCTATTTGGCTTTTCCATTTGCGAGTGCATTCCTCCAAAAGACACTGTGCGCCACGGTCAGGAACGTATTTCGTTATGTCGGGTTCGAACCGTGAAACAAAGTGTGGCGACGTCAGGTCGAGAAGTTCCTCGAAACAATGGACATGATAGTAATCTATAGGAAGCCCTAGTTTTAGAAGAAGAACAGTAGTCCGAAAGGGATTCAGTCCTACCTGGACTTCCAAATACATTTCGATCTCCTGGGGAAACTGCAATTCTATAGTCACGGGGAAGGATACGATCGGTACAACAGAACAGTTGGCAGGTTGCTCCATTGCGCGACTCAGGTGCTTCCTGTAGCAGGAAAACGGGATAGTGAGACAATCGAATCTCTCCGGAAAAGCCAGTCGCGAACTGCGGCGTCATATGCCGCTTGAGACCTCTAGCATCCCTTTCAATCTTTTCTTTTCGTCTCTCTTCCGGCGAAAGTGCCTGCTGGCGTGCGTATTCTGCAGCCTCCCGCTCGTTCCGCCTCCTAGAAAACTGTCTTATATCTTCATCAAGTGATTGAATCTGCATTTCGACCCAGCTGCTGAGCAATGTTTTTTATCCTGGTACGCCTGCGCCGTTCTCTTTGACGTCGTTCCCGGTCCTCGCGCCTCTGTTTAGATCTCGCATCGATCTGATTTGACATGGCTAATGACCTCGTATATAGTCTCACATTGACAAATATTGAAGAAAAGGTCGGTATATGAGAACCGCACTATCTCACGTCTGGACTGTGCAATGATTTGTCGCACCACAAGCCTCTTGTCAATGTTCTGGCGCTCCAACTTGTTGACTGAAGGATATCTTTACAGATTTCAAGAACTTCGACTTTGCATCTGAAGCGTAGGCCAAATGGATGTAGACAAAAGAGAGGTAAATTCTTTCACTGGTAGAGGCTGGGTGTTAATTTATCAGTCCCAGCAACTCGCGCTAAGAAACTGCGCCCCGATTCCTCCGCTTATGCTTGATGCCACAAAGGGCCACATTACAATGACTGCGCCAGGTTTAGAGACGAGACAACAAGTTAATTGGAGGTATTCTCGCGCAGACTACGCTTCATTGAGGATGGTGCACCTTAGCATAACGGCTCGCTGAGGGCTGAGCCGCACAGCCTTGGTATGTACGAGCCTATAGGATTGTAAAGATGAGCCCATGGTAGGGATCCTGACTCGATCAATAAGTAATCCATGTCATAATTTTATTTTTAGTCTTTTACGCATCATGTGCTTCTTCTGGCCAAACTTGTATAAAAAATAACAAGGTTGGCAGTTGCTATACTCTCTTGGAAAGCTTTTTCAAGACTACTCTACAAAAGACCATGGATTTAAGCAACTGAATAAGTCTCATGTCACCTTTCACTTTACCTTTCACTTTACCTTTCACTCATATTCCAATTCTCTACCCACCGTCATTTAGGAGCTCGCTTGCTTCCACCAACTCTTGTGCCTATATAATCTCTCTTCTTCCGTCTCTGGGTTCTCAATCTCTGATTACCCCTGCTTGATCTTCCTCTCTACCACACTGACAGGTAGTAACTGGACCAGCACCTATATATACCTGCCGCTTTCTTTCTGTTTAGTTCCTGTTATTCTCTCTCTGTTTACTTGCCTAGCTCTTATCTCCAAGCCCTCTGCTTAATGCTACACTGATTTCACTAGAAGCATAAGGCTTACACTCTATACAGCCACAGCGCGAGAAGCATTTGCACCCCCATATCGACCCGACGTCGCCGAGTAAAAGATATGCCCAGCAAGACATAGAGTCAACGCTTCTACAAACCGTTGCTGACCGTCAGACAACTGCCCCAACAGCTTCAACCTTTTGAATTCAGCCGAAAACTCAGTTTCCATTTCGAGAATGGATTCGCGAACGAGCTGCTTCGCTATGGACGCGGAGACCTGATGGACCTTTCGCACGACATCAACCGCGTTGATGAGGACCGCGCCTGTTCTGCAATGATCGCCGTACTCCTTGTCGAACGAGTACAGGTCGTTAGTGAGAGAGATGTGGTCGGAATACAGACGGATGAGGTGATCGAAGACTTTCATTCCCGGTTCGGAGAGGTGGACATTGCATGCAAATGCGGCTTGGGCTAGGAGTAACCTGGCTGTTGTTAGTCCGATCCCCGGAGACATGTTGAGAAAGCCTTACTCGCGCCCGATATCTACGGATCGATAGTCCAGATAATTCCTCAGGGAATCGAAAACAGTAGGTGGGATGGACTGGTAGCCCTTTGTGTGTTTGATCCAGGCGAACGCGCCAGAGAGGAGGTTTCTCCCGAGAATGGGTTCTTCGTCGATTACTGCTTTTAAGAAGCTGTATAGAGGGTGCTGTACACTCGCATCCTTGGTGCCGATCCAGGGAGCCATGATGGCGTCTGTGATTGTAGAGCCCTAAGGTAGATTCTAAGACAAGTGCGGGGATCGGGAGGAATGGGATAACCTTACTGCATACACCGGGGAATCTTCGACAACGTCTGCGGAAAAACAAAAGGCAAGTTATAAACATTCTTTTATTTCATGGGCGCCGCTAGTATACTCACCATCGTGCAAAAAGATAAGCAGCATAGACTGCGCTATCATTCCCGCTCTCACAGGACTGGCATCGGGAAACATATAAACCGTCGATTTGACCGCAGTGGCTATCAGCTCTTTCTCTTTGAGTGATCGTATATCGGTAGAAGTTTCCTGCAACTCGATAGGGAGTTTGCCGTCATCCTGCGGTCTCTGCTTGTGGTTCTGATAGATCGCATGGAGAAGTTCTTTGGTCATGCGTTCTGCGGTTTCCCAGTGCTTGCATTGACGGCATCCGGGAAACTTGCTCGGCCAAGGGATACCCATCATCGAAGGGGATATAGGGATTGAATTGGGATAGCTTTGAGATCCGAGGCCATCGCTGTTGGCTGCTTCGAGGAAAGCGAACAAACCGCGCTCGAAGGTACTGTTGTTGGAGGTCTGGATAGGGTCATAAATATGGGATATTGGCATGAAAAATTTGGTTTTCGGGTCGTTGGCAAACGAAGGCATCGTATTGATGTGCTCATTATGCTTTGAGAGATGTTATGACTGACAGGAATGAAAATATTACCCCTCTCACTGACGAAGTGGGTGGCTCTCCCTTATAGCCTTTTCTTGTAATCTGAAGATCAACAACAAATCTGACGACTCTATACCGCTTCTCCTATCTACATGACATCATTCTATGGCATTCTATGGCCTCTGCCACTGCATATTTAACCGGAGCTCCACGCAATTGCCAAAGGAGGATTAAACCCCGAGTGTGGGCCCGAAAGTTGTGTATAGGCCACTCTTTGGAGCAGTAGGGACCGGTTGGAGGTGAAGATCTCTTTCAGTTTCATCTCACGATGACCTTGTGGCGGTCGTTTACCGAATAGATAGAGGTAAGGTTTGGACAAGTGGATACTGACGTTCCATGGAACGTTTATGTAGTTCTCGGACTGTTTACATGGTGGATGCCGGACCGCCTCCGAGGATGCCGCTGGGAAAGACAAACATGATTATCGAATGCAGTAGTAGAATGTTGATTATCGTCCAAAATTTATGGTATGTAGAGAGGTAGATTTGGGGCTTTTATAGTAGGATCCCCGTGCATTTCGGCAGTTTCTGCGAAGAACGGACACTCAGGGATGGTCTCCACAATGTCCGCCATAATAACGAACCAGGCAGGTATCAGGACGATCTCGATGATTGTTGATCGGCACATGGCATCCCGAAAAGGGAACAAGCAGGAGAAAAGAACAAAGTTGGCCAATGGACTAGAAGCTTTTACTCAAGACTTATCTACCAACTCAGCGCAAAATGGTGGTCATAAATGTGCAACTGCTCAGATGGACCCCTCATGATCCAGAATTGTCCAACTACGCGACAACCGGCAGACTGAATATCTAACACACACAAGTCTAGCAATGATGATGATCCCTCCTGGATGTGTTGGACGCGCCTTATAACTATGTAATTATACCGTTCCTGCAAGGAGGAGATTTTTCCCCTCTTATTACCACCGACATGTAATTGGCAGCCAACCATGCAAATCCTTGGGCTGGGATGTTTAAGGCCACTGTATCGTGGATGCGGGTTAACTTCCCGTCTGCCTTGTCTACTCAAGCTTTGTCTTCATCCCGTCCATAGTGCTTCTAATACTACATGCTTATCTTGATGTAGGGCTCCAAAACACCCCAGAAGTCAAGTTCATAGAAAGCTTGACTTAAAATAGCTTATATTGGGAAATCCCTAGCAAAGAATCTGACTAAGTAGAGTACCTTAGCTCAATCTAATGTTCCTAGCAGACAGGACACTATTGACTTCATCACACATAGGAGAACAAAGGATATCACATAGGGAGGATTCAGATGGTGCATACCCCCTCATCCTCTCATCCTGCCGATGTTCTGCAGAATCTTAAATCCACTAGGGTTCTCCATGGTCTCCACACCCCTCATCTCTGAGAACTCCCCCGCCAACTTGCCGATGTTGCGATTTTGTCTTTCGCCGGCCTAGCCTTTACGGCGTACGGAGTACTTGGCCTCATTTTCTCATAACCAGCAGCATCCTCCCCGAAACCATGGCGGACGCAGAATGGGCACCTGGCGGGTTGAGCTTGGCAACACGTAAGGCAGGGCAGAAAAAGAGGAAGCAGGATGCTCCAGGGACCACGCATGCCTCCGGGACGCGAACTGGGCTTTTGCACTTGCCAGGCTATCACCGCCGGACTCCCTATCCAGCTTTTCCCTCGATTGACCCGACCCTATACCAGCTTTGAGAGTGACGTCCCGTGTTTTCCCCAGCAGAGACACCAACTGATAATAGCATTACGAACAAGGCTAACGGAGAATAGGGAATACCATGACGAGTATACACACGCAATCCCCCCAAAGCCAAGCATTCAAACAGTCCTCCTGCGGATATTTCTCTGTGTCTTCAGCGATCAAACAATTAGCAAGGGTCTAGCTTGCCTTGGTTGGAGAAAAGACGAAATTGCGTATGGAATGAGCCGCCGGCCACTCAGACTGCGTGAATTACGCTGACGCCGCCGCCGAGGAGCACGAAACACCAGACTGATCTATCCATCCTTGATCGACTGCCGCTTGCGTGAACAGACAGGAAGCTGGGAGTATATAAGCACGCTACTGTCGATCCAGAAATGCCTCCTCCTGTATCCCCAACCGAGTACGCAAAGTAGATTTTGCCTTGCCTTCTCTCATTGTACGTTCATCACAACCATGTCCCGCCGCAGACTGTAATGGCTAAGCGAGCAACAGATGTCAGTGGCGAGTTTGTCCGGACCAACATTGCCGAGGACCAGGAGGGCGTTCCTCTCTGGCTTGATATCCAGATTATCAATGCCAATACCTGCGAACCGGAGCCGGATGTATTCATGGATATCTGGTATTGCAATGCCACTGTAAGTCTCCACTTCAGCCGACGCATTAGTTCCATCAATGGAGGGTAAAACCACTGACTTCCACGGGTAGGGTGTCTACTCCGGCGTTTCGGCCAGTGGCAACGACAATGGCGACGATGACTCCAGCCTCGATGAAACCTTCCTTCGCGGTATCCAAAAGTCCGATGAGAATGGTGCTGTCCGCTTCCAGTCCATTTTCCCTGGACATTACACTGGCCGCGCCACCCACATCCATGGTAAGCCTGACCGACCCCCCGAGCTGATGGATTCGAGATGGACTGGATTGACGGATGGCGTGACCAGTTCTGACTCACAACGCGAGCGAAACCACCGAGCTCGCCAACGGGACGATCTCCGGGCTGCTGAGCACTCATTCCTCGCACATTGGCCAACTCTTCTTCGACCAAGATCTTATCTCCCAGGTTGAGAGTCTCTCCCCGTACACCACTAATACCCAGAAGCTCACCACCAATGCGAACGATGACATCCTCGAAGGCGAGACAGCCGACATTGATCCCTTCATGGAGTATGTCCTCCTGGGCGAAGACGTTTCAGATGGTATTTTCGCCTGGATTTCGGTGGCTATCGATCCCACGGCCGACCGCGAGCTCAGTCCCGCAGCCTACTACACCTCCGACGGTGGCTTCGAGAACGAGAACAGTGCCATGGGCGGAGGCCCCGGTGGTTCTGCTCCCGGTGGTGCTGCTCCCTCCGGTGGTGCAGCTCCGTCCGGTACTGGTGCCCCTATGAGGGTGTAAGTCAGGTTAGAATGTTAATCTGGCCCGATGAGCGTTGGCTTGTGGGTGCTTCGTGTCTCTGTTTCTGTGTGACTTGCAGGTACTTCGGCACCTTTCTTCTTTCTTTTTTTGATCTTACTTTCTTTCGGTGTGTGGATTAGTGTAACTTGGGATACTGTGACGGTCCTAAAACCACATTCTACACACATATCTTCAGATATTTACCAACCAGACTGTAATTCTCTGTCAATTGTTGCAATCTTAATAAAGTAGACTATACAAACAAAGTGCTCCGCGACTGTTACTCCTGGTCAGTTGGGAAAGGAGAAGGGAAGGAGAGAGGAGAGTCGGTCACAGCCAGACATCTGGGCAAAACATCGAGAAGTCTGGATAGACCCCCCGAGACGACAGCTCATGAGATATGACTTGACAGATGCTTTTAGAAAGTAGCACTAACAGCCCCGTAGGGAAGGCCCAAGTGGGTATGGGCGTAGAGGTGGGCTTGCGGCGAACATTGCAAACACTCGCTGTGTTGGGCATGGTGAGTATGGCGTAATTGACCATGCCGTTGTTGCCAATGGGAAGGGTTACACTGCCGGGTATTCCGATTTGTCGAGGCAATTTTGTGCAGGTAGCCATCAACTTGCAAGTAGGAAACACAGTATACCCGACGTCCGTGCTTCTAAAGCAGGAAGAATCACAGCTGCGACGATTGTGTGCACCCTCATTCTGCCTAAGGAGAACAAGGGATCTGATTGTCTTGCCCGAACTGTACGCGTAACTTGATGTTCAGCCTAGAACACGTCTCCCCCATCATATCGGACATGGGTCGGTCAACACAGGCTTATCAAGTAGGATGGAAGACAGCCACGCAACGCATCGGCGATCGTCAGATATATGGACTCATCTTGGCCTTGAGACTCTGGGCTTTGCCACAATGGTGGATCTCCGATTCACCCCAGTACTGTCATTTTAGCTGTTCATTGGGCTTCAGCTCACTATGAAACAGCTAGCGACTGATGAACTCCGTCCAAGTTCACGGAAACTGAGCTTCGTCGTTCAACAACCCTCTTTGTCTTGTCTATTTCCATATCTGAGTGAACTGATGTCTGCCCCTAGGCTTTGTTTCCCACTTCCGATAGCTGCCCAAGGCCGATGCATAGACTAGACCTTCTCGCGGTGGTTATTAGTTAGACCGATTGAGAAAGTGGGATAGTTCATATAGCCGCGACAATCGTCCATTTTGAAACAGCCCGCCGGCATGGGTTATAGACTGGTGGGGCGTCAGAGCAGGATAGAAAAGAGGCCAGGGAGGGAGATAATCACCAGGAAGCTACAAAACAGGTTACCCGGCGCACATATATAATCCCTCTCATTCCTTCTTTCTCTTGTTTCAAGCTTCCTTCTCTAGAGTTGAACTCTTTGTCATTCATTTCTGATTTGTCTTTCGTCACTCATTTTACCTCAACCACTGTTGACTCGCAATGAAGTACATTCCCGCGGTAGTTGCCCTGACGGCGGCGCTGGCTCGCCCTGCTACCGCGCACTACATATTCAGCAAACTCGTGCTGAACGGCGAGGAGTCGCAGGACTGGCAGTACATTCGGCAGACGACTCGGAGTGAATGCTACATGCCCACCAAGTGGACCTCCACTTACGACAATCTGACTCCCAGTGACAGCGATTTCCGCTGTAACCTGGGCTCTTTCAGCAATGCTGCCAAGACCGAGGTTGCAGAGGTCGCGGCCGGCGATACGATCGCGATGAAGCTCTTCTACGACGCCACGATTGCGCATCCCGGACCGGGCCAAGTTTGTAGGGTTGCCCTTCCTGCCGATATCATATTGACGAACCCCGGACTGCTAACG